ATACCAAGTTTCAACAACATCCATCTGTAAACAGCCGAGAAATGGTTGATTTTGATGACTTTTAGCACAAAAATGGCCGCCATTCGGCCATCTTGAATCAGATCGTGAAACAAATTGACGTGCATATGTATAATATCATGTATGAAGTTTGATTGTGATTGGTCCAGGCATTTCTAAGATACAGGTCCAGACACACACATGCACGCACGGACACACGGAGGTCAAAACATAAGTCCCCGTTGTCGAACTGCGTCCGAACGGGGACTAAAAAACTGGTAGGATTACTGAGTATAGTCTGACAACTTTCGACCTGCATATACTGTAGTTCATCTTGTTCAGTAACTTTTGTCCATTGGAGATAAACCTAAAATGTATTACTCAATCAAGCCTTGCTGACCAACATTAGTTGAAAAATGTTTAAATTACAACATTCAAAAATATCAAGATTTTGTCAGTTGAAAATAATTGAAAAGTGTAGACATGTAACTCAAAACAACAGGTGCAGTTTAATCTCCTAAGAATTACCTCCAAGTTCTGACAGATAAATTTACCACACGGATAGCAGTTTTTTTACATAATTTCTCATGAAAAACTATTACTTATATTAACCAGTTAATAAGGACACCTGGTTAGATTACATTTGGATGTTGATGACATCTTAATGTATTCAACAAGCAGCCTTTCAGCTGAGATAGCTCTGCTGTTAGCAATGCACATTTCAATTGAAGAACTGAAGATATTCTTAGAAAATGAACGATATGTATAGTATCAAAGCAATCAGACTTGCGTTTTTTAACAAGAAGTCGAAAATATTGCTTTTTACCGAAAATGACAAAAATATTCTTCAAAATTAGAGAATTGAAGATATCATTACAAAATGAACAAATCTGAGAGGTATAGCTGAGGTACCTATATGCATAACATAAAAGCAATCAGACTTGCGGTTTTTAACAATAAGTCGAAAATATCACTTTTTACCAAAAAAAGACAAAAATATTCATCAAAATTAGAGAATTGTAGATGTCATCATGAAATAAACAAATCTGATATAGGTCTACCTGTAATACCTGTATATATAGTATCAAAGCAATCAGACTTGCAGTTTTCAACAAAAAGTCGAAAATATCACTTTTTACTAAAAATTACAAAAATATTCATCGAAATTAGAGAATTAAAGATATCACAAAATGAACAAATCTGAGAGAGGTCCAAATGTAGTACCTATATATGTAATATCAAAGCAATCAGATATAGGACTATAAACAAGAAGTCGAAAATATCACTTTTTACCCAAAATGACAAAAATATTCACCAAAATTAGAGAATTGAAGATATCATCATGAAATGAACAAATCTAAGAGAGGTCTACCCAAGGTACATATACACCAAGTATCAAAGCATTCAGGCTTGTAGTTTTCAAGAAGAAGTCGAAAAAGTAAAACATTGACATGGACAGTCACTCATATAATAAGCTCCGTTCGACAAAGTTGACAGCGGTGCTAATAAAATATACTGAAAACTGTTTAATTTATTAGTGTGCATACCCTAAAGTGTGAGTTTGATGTACAATATTGATTGTGGATACTTTATAAGAAAGAATGCTATGGAGATATGCATAATACAATCAAAGCAGGCAAAGCTACAACACACTTCAAGAATATTTTAAGACTTCAAAACACTGGCAGGTATAAATACCGCCCATATTCTGATTTCCAGATTCACAATTTCAGACTAGTAGTATTTTAGCATTCCCCCAACACACAGCTGGATTTTGCTAGACTTTGACTTTTTCTTTTTAAATTGGTTGTAGACAGAGATATAAAACTATGTGCAAATCATAGAAATGCTATTCCTTATGAAAATAAGTCATAATATTTAGTTGCAACGCCAGACTTCTGATAAAACGATAATTTGTTGTTTTTCTCAATTCAATTCAACCATGTGGTAGGAATTCAAATGCTATCTATCTACCGTGATGTTTTCACCTTATTGATTTTACGGTTTGAAATATTGTAATTGACATCTTTAATTCAACAATCAAGTATTAAACCACTACCACTTTTTCTACTCAAAAAATACAATTATCAGTGACTCGGTAAAAACAGTAAAAATGACATTAGGATTTTAAATACAGTGTTCATAAAATTTCGTTTCAACTAATAAACGCCCTTATTCTTCAGATCATAAGAATTCATCACAGCAGAAATTGAAAGGTTTATATTAACTTCACAAACTGCAAACTACAAAAAGAAATGTGAAGATACATTTTTGTAAACTACAATTAAATACCCCTCACCCCACCCCACCCACACAGAAAATCAAATCAAACACCTCGTTGGTATTTTTCTCCCTTGTACTTTGTACAACAAAATGTATTTTTCTCCCTTGTACTTTGTACAACAAAATGTACGTGTGTGTTAACATTAAAACAATTGCAAATTTATTCACCAAGACTGTAGCATGGCAGGGTGCAAACAAGTCATATTGCTTACTTCACCAAACTGACAATCTTTCACTGGTACAGACTGGGATAGGCATTCAAACTATTTCAACTTTCAATTTTAACCACCATCACAAAAATGCCTGTCAGTTCAAGAACATATCGCTTGACCTTTACTTTTGCAAACATAAATAAGGGACAAACCATTTTTTGTTTGTTTTAGGGTGAGGCAGGTTCCAGTTGCTGTGTTCCTTCTTGTTATGACAAAATTTTGCGTGCACAGATTTTGGCATTTTGATGTTTTAAGTTAAAACAGAAACAGTTCAAGTCACCAACAAATATATAATGAAAAATATTTTGATTTTCATGTGATAACCATTTTCATGTTTGTATTTTCCGGAAAAAAAAAATAATATAAGTAAAGTGCATGGTGGGAAATCAACATGCAATTCTAATACTCACACTTGCATAACAAAACATGCCTCATACCAGGAGCAAACAATTTTCCAAGCAAGGCGTTCCCTACTAGGATAACCTAACCTTGACCACAGCTAACAGGGCTATCATTAAAATATACAACCCAAAAAGAAGTAGGTCAATTTGAAGGTCTTATCACACAAGAAAGGGCCTTGAAATCCCAAAGCATGAATTCAGTTTCCTCTCATCTAAAGTAATATTCCGATCAAGCACAATAATATTTTTATGTAATTGGAAATTTGAGTGAAATACCTCAAGTTAAAAATTATCATTTAATCAAGTTAAAAATTATCAATTAATCAATGAGAAATTAACCTCAGAAAACAAAACAGGAAGCAGTATTTCAAAGAATTCCCTCCATATGCTAAATTTAATAAATGTTAAAATTATTAAACAACTCATGAAAACAGTGCTTTGACGTTTTAAATATTTGGAATCAGACCACCGCACACAGCTGTATAAAGGAACAGCATTTTTTTAACGCATTCTCGTGAACAATCTCAACTATTTTTGGATCCAGTGCACTGGAATTGTCAAAGCATCTTAAATTAAAAGAAAATAAAAGTATCATTCCGATGGTTTGAAATGTTTATTATTAGAAGATGATGGGGACTCCAAGTTAAACTTCTTAAAATAATCATTAAATTTGTGGCGCCTCGTAATTTGCCAACTCCCCCTATTTTCCCTGTTACTGCCCTGGAAAACTGGTACATGTAAAACACAAGTGTGTGCAGGCAAGGATTTAATAGGAACGCCAGATTTTTTTTTTTAGCCACACAAATATTGCCTCCCCCCTCCCAAAAATAACTTCCACAATAAAAATTTGTGTCATTTTTATAAGAAAAATATAGCCTTCTGCATACAAGCTCCCCATGTGATATGTTGATGGCCTTAATAAGTTATGCAAGATATGGCCAAGACTTCCTGTAAGTCTCCTCTGGTTGCAAAAACACGTCTTGGGTCGTTGTCTTCTGTGAACTTTCCTACCATGAGTTTGTACTATCTCTGACATATAAAATTGTTATTATTTATTTTTTTCAGCAAGTGTCAATGCTTGAACACTTATTGTCCAGAACAAAAATAAAGGTAATGGGGTCACACAAAGACTGTTGTATTTTTGGAAAAAAGATAATAATTTTCACAACCTTTAATTATCCAGATAACGTTGATTTTTGCATGCAGATAGCGGCTGGTGGCCATGTTTTTTTTGTGTGTTTTTTTTTTGTTATTTTTTTTGTTGTTCTTTCTCATGAATTACATCAACATGAGAAAGCTGAAATCCAAGTGACAAGTGGTGCAGTTGTTCTAGGGGTCACCTTTCACAGACAGAGAATGACCCCAGAGAACATTATGCATTTCATGTCTAATGTTAGCATATTTCGTGCGGCATGATAAAAACGAATATAAATTCGATGTGGCTGCCACAGATATGATCAATTTTATTGGTAAAATTATATAAATAACATCGTTTTATTTGTTTATCTTAAAATAGGATGTGACAGAGGAGTGGGGCTATTAACACCTATGTGTCGACGCAAACATAGTGATAGCAAGACGCACGCCGTGGCCTTGATTCCCTCGTCAAGTCGGTACAGATACATTGGACATGTAACGTCTTGATTTTAGGAGAGACTCGTGGAAATATTCACATTTCACGGCCCGGAACAACATGTACATTTTTTCGACGCGAAAATGTCGTTTTTTCATAACGCGACCACCACTGTTGTCATCCAAACTCCACTATTGTGATTGGAGTGCCACCCAAGCTGCTGTCGGTTGTTGTTCAGTACTGCTAGTCACGGATCTCGTCGTCATACCGGGGACGAGCTTTCACTGGCAGACCTACCCGTTACTTTCACACCAATACCAGTTCATTGTAACACCAAATAAATAATTCAAACAACAGTAATTCAACATACTCTGACAGAAGTGACAACGATCAAAGATTTCTTTCGAGTACACCGTGCCGACATTGCTATAAATTATCGTGTGACGCATCCAGTATCAAAACAAGTCAATAAAGCCCAAGAATAGAGCCGCCTATGCCAATTTGAACCCCAGAGTATGCTAAGCATCTACCTACCGTGTTCTTCTATTCTGCTTTCTGATCTTGATATAAGCGTAACGATCGTAAATAAGAGCAAAAATAATCGCCTATACTGTATCATGGCTGTTTGTTGAAGCTGCATCGTTTAGCTTGGTTGACAGTGTTTTCAAAACCACGCTGTTTACAGGTTCGAGAAACGAGCCTGTGAGGAAAAGACGGTGATATTTGTACCCGTATTGTCCGCCTGAGTCAAAATACTCACTCTACCTGATCGCAGTCTCGGTCATAATTAGCCCGAAATTGGGTCCGTTAGTCTCCACTGTACAGAAAATACACCAAACAGCAATTTTTCGGAGTTTTTCTTGACAACAACACAAAGTTATGGCGGGATGTACAGCGCTCACGATGGTGATGGCGGCGTTGGATTCGTTCCAGAAATTGACACTGTGTAACAAACAACCTGCAACAAACCGTGATCTCCCACGCAAAAAATCCCACGATCCCCTCTTCCTAAACGACGGCAAAAATTATTTTTGATCCCGTGTACTGACGAAAAGTGACAGATCCGGTTATGGGGCGAATTGTCCGATAATACCAACAATATTAGGGGGTTGTATGATCACTGAACACCACGTAGCAGAGCGGTGACCTCTTCCTCTCATTGAAATATTGGAGAAAAACAAGTCAGATGAGTCCATTACAAAAATGGGTAAAATAGCAATAACATAGAGGGGGGATATTTTAGGCTTTGATTATCGTTTATAAAATGGAGGCGTTATTAATTCTATACGTTGTTATACATTACAGTTGTGAATAAGAAAATAAATAGGTAATTTTGTATCCGGGTTGTGAATGTTAGAGGACATGCCATGTTTTCAGACAAATGCAAACCCCTATACAGCTAGATAATAATGGTGGATGCTATTACATTTTGTTTTAGCCCGGGTTCAGATCGGCGAGTGATTGCTACGTGTGCCGATAATACGTCAACATTGCGCAAACATCGTCTTTGTCCATCGATCTCAACGTCGGAATAAAAACAATGGCGACGCGTTTAATTTAAAAATATAATGAACAAAAATACATGTCTAATAATAGGCTGAACTCTATAAGTGGGACAGTTTGGTCTATGGATTGGCTGAAGCCGAATACAACACCCATATCATTGAGTGAGATTTGCGTTAAAGCATGCCATGGTTAAACCTACCAGACCCCACACTACAAAAATATATGCGCGTAAATAAGTAACACCGCTAAACAATTTGATCGACACCCTGCTGTTTTGTTAATGACATTCAGCTTGTCTGAGAAAAGTTTGGCGTTGTTTCGGGCACGGTTACGGGTTATACCGGTTCACCCTAGTTGCGCTTATTTGTTCAACGTGAATTAAAAGCTCTTGTAATCTGTTTCTTCTTTGCTCATTTTTCATCGTGGCAAACTGGCAAGGACCCAAACATCACTGACGTGGGTGACGTACACACATATTTCTGAACAATGGAAAATGCTAATCTATTATGTGTTTTTCTTTGTTTTGTTTTTTGTCGTTGTTGCGGGGAGGGCCGAAATTATCACTGTGTCTTTTCATTATAATGACAGAACAAACTCTGGACTTCGGCAAACGTGCGATCTGGTGTATATACAGCGCATCAATGCATTTTTGTGAAGTAAATTAATAAAACCGGTAATATTGAGCATTAACAAATTCTAACATTGTGCTTAGTCCGCCCAACCCACTGTGGCAGTGTTCTCAGTCCCAGTCAGCAATAATTCTCGTGCTTGGTATCCGCTGTTGGAATCAAAGACAAATACGTCTTTAATAATTTGCAATTTATGCAATTGCCGTCACAAGCACCATGGATGTTAAGTATATGTTTGAGTTATTTCAATTCAATCTAGTGATTTTTATCTATTTCGTTGAATACCACGTGGCCTACATATATCATTCTCGCAATTTTCTAGATTTGTTTTCACACATTTTTATTACGGCCTGTAGCCATGGTTATAGCCAGAAGAAGAAGAAAAAGTGTCTGTCTAAATTCTTTACTGAAATGCAAGATAGTACTCTGTAGCAATAGTCTATTTTTTTGAAAATCGAAAATTTCAATCAAAAGTTGACAGTTTGTAGAGATTTAGCCTGTCAAATCAAATTTCGCACCTGTCTATAACGGTAGGTTGACAGGTGTCTGCCTAAAAGCCTGTCTGTAGTAGCTAGAACTTGTGCCCATTTGGTCAACTAACAACTAACCAACACGTTATACAATTATTAACAATAGACAAATGTTGCAAGATATTCGGCGTTTCAGAAAACTGCACAGAGACAATTTTGAAAACAAACATTTTACTAGGAAAAATTATCATCATGAAAAATGGTGAAGTTTGTTACAATTTTCATCTCATTTAAGGTAGTACGGTACTCGTTTGATTTTTTTTACATGTGCGCATATTTTAGCGCATATATCAGTGACAATATTCCGTTTCAAAATGTGTCTACAAACAAAAGTACAATTAATCGTTTTAGCATTAGTCAATAGTGTCACGGTGTAAGGCCTGCTTATTGTGTGTGAACTTGTTTGGTTCAGTGTCAATATGTTGCTGTTGTTATTCTTGCCATAGAAAACAATGGTGAAATGTCCAGATACATACAAAATATCATGCCACAGTATTTTCACTACTTTTTGAACATTCATTTACTCAGAATCTAGAACGATGACCCTGTGATTGTAATCTATTTTCTCCATCATTGTAACATGATTTATCAGTATGTAAAAAATAAACACAAAGTTTTCACCTTTGTGTAGCGTTATACCTTAACCCCCTGGAGGCTTCATCCAGTGATGTCATAGACGGTGTCATAATGGGTAATGATAGTAGAAGACTTGTTGACCTGTCTTGGGGTCTTTTAACATGTAATGAATGACATACTTACAACTCAAAGACCATACTTTTTACGTTTTTAAATGTGTTACTAGTATATAGCATGACAGTTACTATTGACATATTTTTATTCTATAATTCTTATATTTTAATTTTTTTTTAAATATTTATTTATACATTTTATTCTTATTCATTTACTATTACTTACTTACACTTTTACAATCCAAACACTGAATTTCACTGGCGTCTATTTTGAAACCAGGGCGAACAGAGCAATGACTTCATGTACTACATGCTTATTTATCGGTTAGAATTCAATAACTGCGCGGCGCTTCATACGTCACACACTAACCGTCACATGATCATGGATTATTAACCTTAAAAGGTCTAGGAATGAATCACTGTTACATGCGTGTTTTACTCTCCCCTTTATTACAACGTTCAACTACACCCCTCGGTGGCACCTCGGCCTCTTCCCCAACTCGCACAGTCATGATGAAATCTGCGATTTTACAAGTACGCATATTTAATATTGTGTTATGTAGCAAATCATCAATTATAGATGTTCTAGTCGTTCAATCACAGACCTTAGAAAGAAAGGGTCTATAATTTAATAGCATTTCCTAGACACAGAGCGACAGAATCCAAATTCAGGGCATATTTTTTTTTGTCAAGGTGCAAAACATAATACAAGCCCAATAAAAAAAGTGTAGTCTGTTTTATCGTGTTCAACTATTTCACAGCTCTCGTGAATTGGGGGTGTTAATGCCTTTACTAGATTTCAAGTTCATGAACACGTCTCTAAAACAGTGAACTTTTTTGCAATGATAGTCTGGGATTTCCGCAATCTCCCACGCAGTGTTATATTACTTTCGGGCCGCAAGGATTTCTGGGAAGGAGCTTGGGATCCAAAATGACAGTTTGCGCGCCAATGATTGACTGGCATGCGGCAGTCACTCACATTTGACGTCATTTTTGCTATTTTTATCGAATCTGAAGTCGCTATTTACGGCGGGATACAACTTGTGTTGACGTCACGTTATACCAATAAACGTGAGCCTACGCATGATGTGGTTGCAGTCGGACGGAGTGCAACCTTAAAAGAAATCGACGCAATTTATCATAGAACAGATAATTATGCATATATTCAATAAGGGTGAAAATTGCATTCCAATCACTTACTAGTAACCACTGCTGGAGTGATATTATATGGTGTATAGGGGTTTCCTTGACAAGAGTCCCACGTTTGTTTTTAAGGGGTTGACCATTTGAAAATCTGAGATAGATTAGAGGCGATCTGCAGAGAGAAAATTATTCATGAAAACTATATATTTATAATATATCTCTGTCTCTAGCCTGACATGTAGGCGTGAGTGGCGCCCTCGTCGGCCCAACGGCATCAGACCCAACTGTGTTGGGTTTGGAGCACCGCGGAGGGTGCAACTCACGCGACCTTGTCAGGCTACTATGTCCCTTGCATATAAAGTTGCCGTTCCTGTTTCTTATACTGCCCTCAGCGGCATTTTTTAGTATACACAGGTACGCCACAGTAGTGAAGTGGCTAGAGGTCTGAACCGAGATAAAAAAAAATACGAGCCGGGAATTCAAATTTACCAATCACTCCTTGAAACAAATTTTCGAGAAAAACCCACCTCTTAAAATAGTTTAAACACAGCTTTGATTCCTGAAAAATTCAAAAAAGAACCCTTGAAAATATCAAAACATTTTAAAACATAATTTAAAGACCCCTTGGGTTCCCCGTATACCCGTTGGTAGGTTTCTCCTAAAGCCCCACCCATTCCGGGAACATGACAGAATTCCAGTCCGTTTCAGTGAAAAGAGTATTTGTGTCTCATGATAAACACGGTCGCACAGAGGGAACTAATAAGGAACACTATGCATTTTGCTCTAGTTCGGATGTCTAATGAATACCAATATCTCAGCAGTACCGCGCAGACAGAAACGTCGCGTATTCTTAATATTTTGAGGAATTGATTTAAGAAAATACCATTATTAATTAATTGTTAACTAATATAAATAGGATGTTGTTATAATACCTAACTACCTTACTATACTATTTAAAAGACAGGAATGATTGATATTTTAAAAACATTTTTACTTCCTATGAGAAGTAGTGGCAGAAACAATATTTCTAGTGCCGGGTTGGGCATGTTTAAATATTTGTTTAAAACAGAATTTTCTGTCACGTTAGTAAAAACAAGTATGAAGTATAGAACATGCTAGACATCCTAAACTTGACAATGATCGTATTTTAATCAGATTTAATTTGCATAATATATTTATATGTGCACATGTACTAGTCGTTTTGCCCTTACATGTAGTAGTTTGTTTTGAATATGTTATATTCCCTCTAATTCAAACCTTTCTTACTGACTAATAGAAATCCATTCTTCGGGTCTGAATGAAAAG